AAAAAAAAAAAAAAAAAAAAAAAAAAAAAAAAAAAAAAAAAAAAAAAAAAAAAAAAAAGATGAAAAAGTTCCACGCAGAAGAGCAAGGACACACATACACCTGTACACTACAACGATGCTCGTCGCCCACGCGACATCCCACTTGCGTTGGCGTCACCCTCCCCACCCCCTTTACCATCTCTCGCTACCCCCCCAAGTTTTGTTCCTCTCGATAGTATTTACTATATGCATGTGCGTATACTATACGAGCTCACGTGCCGTTCCGGAACAACGTCACGCTTCTTCGATCAACGAAATCTCCACACGGCTTTCCTCTCCCCAGCCATTCACTTGTGTATGGATGGGATTCGCGTGACCGCAGGTCGCACCTTTCAGAGATCATTCGATTAAAACTTCGGGATGTAGGTACACTTGAAGGGGATGTTTTATTTTAAGACGCGTTCGAAACTCGTCGGTTCTATGAACTTGAGGAGACGTTTATTGACAGCATGCCTGTGTAGGCGCACTTTGTATAATCCGTCACGTGGAAAAAAGCTGTTTCCGCTGTATACGCCGAGGTGAGCTGATTGAGGAAAAAAAAAAAAAAAATGCCTTAATATTTAAATCCAAGTGCCCTTGTACACCCCCCTCGAGTCATGTCGAGCGATCCCCTTGTAAAACGTGATCTGCGACGATTGTGGTGATTAAAAAGGAAGGCGATCGAGCTGCCACTGGGGAGGGGTGAAATAATATGGGATATAACTTACGAGTGGAAATTGAGTGACTTTGGGAAAATCGAAGAACACGTTGGCGTTGCGCTTGGTAGTGAAGGGCTCGTCGGTGTCCAAGGCTTTGGAAGTCGTGACCTCGGAAGGTGGCGGCGTCTCCGCTTCCGTAGTCGTCGTCGTCGTGATCACCCTCTGGGGCGCCAAAGTCAGCGCCGAACAGCGCAACAGTTGTCCCGTCACTGAGGAAAACAAAAAAAGAAATGCCACTACAGATTTTTTAATTTTTTCCCACTCGCCGCTAATACGACACACAAGCGCTGCAATTCCAATTATCTTTGCATTATCCTTGTTCCCATTTCAATCGAACATGAATATACAAGCACACCATAGCATTGGAGCTTTTAAATAATTAATGAAACTGGTTATCAACGGAACACTCGAAACCAATTTGGCACTCGCGCTTGCGCCGAAAATTAAAATTGATACATTCAATTACATTAATTGCGATTAAGTAAATGGTTAATATATATATATACACACACTCCGGCGCTATATAGGCATGCGTGTATGTATATACATCATCCGGCTAACGTCTCGTTTAATCAAATATAATTTCAAACTGCTTTTCCTCCCTCCCACACGCCCCCCCCCCTTTCATCGATCCTTGACCCCCTCAAAAAGAGAGTCGGGGGGGGGCACGTAAAATGTAAAGGAGGAAAAGCTCCTTGGACTTATACGCGTGATCGCAAGCTCAAAAGTATAAAAAGCCACTCACGGACGAGTAGTGCGATCATCAGTGCAGGCACCAAAGACCCGAGATCCGACCTCCTGAACGCCATGTTTCCTGCGAAGGGTGTGTATCCTTTGCCGAAGAGCTTGGGCTGGTGATCCTCGTATTAGCTCGCGGCCAGGACTGAGCAGCCGCCGGACGTCGGGAGCGCCGTTCGCCCTCTCGGCGATCAATACCTAGGGACGGGCGCGCGCGCGCTACCAACGATCATTCCACCCACGCAACTTTCGTGCGAGACGACGAATCCCTCGGCGTGATGGGACACTTTTTTTTTTTCGTCTAAACGCCACGTAGGTGCAGCCTATATACACGTTGTTGTGGGTATACATATGTATACTTTGAAAAAAAGGAACGGGTCGTTGTTTCTTACATTAAATGTATAGGTTGTACGATAGCACCTCTTTTTGAACCTTTCGCGGAGCTTTTCTGGCGCATAATTTTGAAGAGCCGCAGCGCGCGCTACATGTCAACTGGAATTAAAATTACTTTCTATGTGTATTGAATTTGTGCGTGCATTTCACACGGGGGGAATGAAGGAAAAAGCTATAGAGTCAGTGACAACACCCGTGTATGCATATGGAGATCATAAGTACGGACTTTTATGAGATACTTGGCACGATGTATACTCAACCGTTGAGTTGAAACGCGTCAAGTTTATGTTTATTTATATTCAGTCCACGATGGTTATGATAAAAACATTATGTGTAAACATATAAATTATTTAGCGAGTTCCCGTGTGTTAAGTAAAAGCTCCCGGATAGTGGACGATAGCGCCACTGTAGGCTTTATTGAAACTAAAAACATCGTGTGTCGTGTGTTACCACCGTCGCAAAATATTACGCGAATTCCCTTCTCTTTCTCTCTCTGCACAGCAAAAGGCGCATAAGTACTATAGATACTAGGTTGTATACATTTGCAAAACCAAATGCAATGCATAAATATCGTACAGTAGTAGTGAATAAGTAGAACGTAAAGCTAGAGCTAGAGTCGCTAGAAAGCTAGAAAGCCGTGTGGGACCTGCGAGAGCTGCGAGGACCATATATATTACCCATACGTATATATCTATATGTTTTTTAACTATAATTTGTGTCAGTCAAAAGTCATCGTTGTATAGTGTGTACAACATACCGATAATCCCGTATACCTATATTTACTACAGGATAAGTATAACAAATGCAAAACAACACGTCAAACAGCAACTGGACATACGTCATTTAGTCTCATTTGTAAGCTTGCCTTGACCAGCTCCTTTCTCAAAACAGTGTAATCCCAAATAGTGAAGCTCACTAACCAAGAGGAATACTTGCAAAAGTATAGGTAAGAATATTATAAGTATCTGTAAACTTTTAGAGCCTTTGCGGGTTAATGTTGAAACGTATAATTACTCCTTTCTACACTGCATTGTTTGCGTGTCAAAATATATCCTCGTATTTATTCAGCGTCTGTCCATCGTATGTCCCTCCCCTTTTTTGTATTCCATGGTAGGAGTAATATATTATTAGCTGCTAGAAATAATTTTATTTATTTGTTCGTTATCGTTAGGTTTTAGTTTACAGCGGATCAATATTTCTTTCTGCACCACCGTCACGAACACTGTACAGAATAAATAATGAAGTCAGATATGTTAAGTGTCCTTCTGCTGGTGGTCTTGGCATCAGTCTCTGGTCTATCCCAGGGTAAGTTTTCAATTTTTTATTGCCTTATAGTAAAAAAAATCATGGTCGTCTCAATTGCATTGATATTGACGCGTTGGTGTGTCATAAATAGATTATTTGAGAGAATTGCCATGAAAATCAATTGTTTTCCAGAATATTGGTAGAAAACTTTTCAAATAATAGGAATAATAAGAACACGTTTTTAGTGAAATTGCAGCAGCCAACGTCACAAATATTCTTGAATATTCCTTTGTTATGTGATATTTCATGAGCAATGAAAAGAGAAAGATATGCACGTTTTCGCGATGAGCACGCGCGCATTAGTCATGAAAAATGGTTGCTGATTCATTTAGAAATTTATTTATTCGATTGAAAAATAATGAAATTGTTTTATTTTTACAAAGACAAAGCTGCTGCTGCAGTGCCCCCTCAGCCACCGTCAGATACCACAACAGCATTACCACCTGCAAATGCAACTACTCAAGCTCCTAATACCACCACTACAACTAAACCAACAGTAAGAATTTAAAAATTTTGTTCAATACTTAGTTGCATGGTGTAAATTATTTATTTTATTAGACAACCACGCCAACCACCACCTCCACCACCACTACTACGACGACTTCTACTACCACTTCTACAACAGCTACGCCTCCAACCACAAAACCAACTACAACTAATCCATCTCCAAAACCGACTACGTCTACGTCCACCGTAGGACCAACCACTACAGCTTCGCCACCAACTCCAAACCCATCAAAAGGAGGACATTCCTTTGATGGACTGAGCTTTATGGGTAAAATTAATACTTCATTCAATTTGAGCAGGTTTCACTCTTGAATATTGAAATGATACATAATTATCTTCCAGCTGGCATAATTATGACAACGTGTGTTGTTGGACTAGGCGCCGGAGCTATCAAGTTCTACAAGATTAAAACCGATAGAAGTTATCGTACGCTCTGAGACTACGCATTAGTTCAAACAATTTAAAAATAATTATCAAAAGATCTGCAGCACTGAGAAGTGTTTAAAATGCTAAAGTTAATCATTTGAATGATAGCAATATCATATTTTTTATAAGGCGTATAGCATTAACTAAATGCTTAAGTGCTCTTAATATGTTAAAAATTGTTGGTGTGATTGATCTGATATAATTTTAATATAATAGTTAATGTAACGGTAATTTGAAACAAGAAAGTATTATAACTAAGAGAATGGTAATAGTATTTGTAAGAATCTCATTTTTACTTTTTTGATGTTTTTTTTAGCACACAAAATATCACCATCAATACTTGATTGAAAATATTTGTCCAAATATTCTGTGAGTCTAAAAAAGTGGCATAAGCATTATAAACACTAGCATTTTTAAATCAAGTCAACAACAAAAACAAAAGCCATGTATTCCTTTGAAAAAAAATTGCTACAACTAATAATCATGTATAAATGTATAAATATTGTGCAAGTTACATTTTACAAACTTGTGGTGAAATAAAAAAAATTACACAAATCATTGATTTATTTCAATGTTTACTCCCACACCCTAAATTACTTAAGTAAAAGTTTAGTGTAACAGAACAGAAGGCGTTTCCAGTAATTTCCTGGCTGCAGAGTACTAGTATAGGGTAACGAAATACGAAAAGTGTAAAATACGTCAATACGCGATGGTGCTGCTGCTGCTGCTGGCGTCGACGTCGACGAAAATCGGAGCAGACTTCAGATACTTACATTAGATCCGGGGAGAGGCGTACTGTGGAACTGTCATCATCGTCCGGACGTCTCCTTCAGCGGGGAGAGCGGGAAGGCGACAAGTGCGTGGTAGTGCGATTAAATTGTTTGGTGGTATTGGTGAAAAAAACATACTTAGGACTTGTAGGAAAGCAAATCTACTCGATTATTTGAGAGAGCCCCGTACCGAGCTGGGCCCCCTCTCTCTCTCTTTCCCTCGCCCAAAGTGATAAGAAATATCTCAAAGTGTTTCAGTATTATTTACAAACGCGTACGTCATCATTTATCGTTTTGTTTTTATTTTTATTTTTGTTTATCTCTCTCATTCTGTATCTTTCTGCGGATACTCCCTCATCCCGCCACGGGAGTTTGGGACAGTATATATCAAAATAATCTTCTATCTTTTTTTTCTTTTCTCTCCTTTGCATGTTATTGCGTTGCCGCATTATCGACTACTCTTTTTTCTCTGCTAATAGACTACTTATGCGTTTAGCGTGAAATACATTATAAGTATATTATATACGTATCGTTTATCGTTCGTATTGAACGCATCCGTTAGTTAACTCTCTTCTGTACGTATATGTGTATATTGTACATACATAGGTACCCACCTATTATACATACATCACTTGGACATTCTCTCATTTTCACGTCATTTCACGAGCATCGATCGACTTATCCTTTACGAAAAGATTCAGGACTTCAATCGTATACATACGTGGTTTTTTTTATAAACAATTTGTAGAAACAGTCGGTATCCTCACGAGAATATATATAATTTTTTTCCAGAGCATTGATCCAACTGCCCTGCTGCCTTACATATGTGTGTATGTCTTTTTTCTAAGTATACTCACAATGCACAGCATTTCACTGTGCATACATATGTATACATTATTTATGTGCTATTTTCTCAATACTAATTGAATATTGTTTCCGTGTGACTAAAATTTCAAAGAATAAACTTTTTATTATGGCAGTGAATGGTTTTGTGCAGTGCTATCCGTACTAATTTGAATGATTTTATTTTGACAGCAAAAATGACAGACTCCAAGTATTTCACCACCACTAAAAAGGGAGAGATATTTGAATTAAAGTCTGAGCTTAACAATGACAAAAAAGAAAAGAAAAAAGAAGCTGTGAAGAAGGTAATTGTTACTGAAATTACCTGTAGTAATTAATTTTGTTAAACTGTTTTATGCAATGCAACAAACAAAATTACTTTATAATTAATACGTTATTAAACGTATTACGGTGCATTTCAGGTAATTGCTTCTATGACTGTTGGTAAAGATGTTTCAGCATTATTTCCTGATGTAGTTAATTGTATGCAGACAGATAATTTAGAATTGAAGAAATTGGTTTATCTTTACCTAATGAACTATGCAAAAAGTCAGCCAGACATGGCAATTATGGCAGTCAACACGTTTGTAAAGGTAATGTATCTTGAAGTTCATATATTTCATCCTTCATTTTTTATTCATGCACCTTTAATACATATTTCACAAATATATGACTAATATTGATATGTATATTTTCTAATATTTTCATATTAACTCTTTACTAATCCACAAACATTGAATACTTGACACATGAAACATGCTTTTTCAACAAAAGACATTATAGTACTAACTGAAAATATATCAAGGCAGCCTGTAGAAAAACAATGAGTCCCAGCCCTTATTGAAAAAATTGACTTACGAAACCTCTAGTTATTTTACAGTTTGCCTTTTTCAAATATGCAGATTATGCCTGACAGTAATCAAAATTACGTCGAGCTATTTGCATTGTAGTTTGTAGAATGGTATGCTTTGACGGTACATACTTGAATTGCTTATTTTTTGAAGGGCACGACTGGCACGAGACTGAAGTTATTAATACAAAAAGTAGTTTGATGTGACCTTGTTGAAAATAAATACATACAGTACAAACTGAAATACTCATTTCACTGTACAATAATGTACGTAGCACTTGGAGTCAAGTTTAAATTTATGATAGAGCTTTATCAGAGCACAAAATTCGTTTATAAATAAATTAATGATTTTACAAAGAAAACTGAAAAAAAATATTTATAACAATTTTACGCTTGTTATTTTGCTGTTTAAATACATTAAAGTGCATGTGTACTCTGATCGTTCTTCTATTTAGTTGTGTAAATCACGATGTATTTATATTTGGCTTTGTCAAGTGCATGTACATTTTTTTGCTGAATAAATATACTAATTTTAGAAAAATACAAGTATGATGTTTTTTAAAGATGCATTAATTATTTAGCAACATGAAACGACATTATTTCGATAGTTTACTAATTCTTTATATTAGTCATGGCTTTCATTACAATTTTTATGACAAGGCTGTTTATTAATGTGGAAAATTTTACTTTTTGCTTCACGCACATTTGTATACACGTCAAGAATCCAAGTCGTTGTATGCCTAGAAAAGACAGTAAAGAAATAATCGTGCTCTTTGAAAAATGACTAATTCAAAAAAGAATAAGAAACGAATGATCTGTAAAATTTCTCCTGCATTAACAAGAAAATAAAAACAAACAAAAATTAATAACGCAAAAAAAACTAACATAAACCTAATAACAAATGGTGACGGTGACCAATTTGACATTTTTCGTTCTGACACGCAAAAAAGGAGCTTGCAACATCTCCGATGATAAAGGTACCTTCTACTTTTTTATTAATAACTTTATATGTAACGTAAAAAATTTAGCCAATTGCCTTTGAGATTGGCCAATAATAATAATTATTATTATTATTACGATGAAAAAAAAAAAAAAAAAAAATTAGAAACCTTAGTGAAAATACAACTCGCGCGACTAGACTTGAATCCCTGGCGTGACCAATTTTTGCGTAGGACTGCGAGGATCCGAATCCGCTGATACGTGCACTAGCTGTGCGCACCATGGGTTGCATTCGCGTCGACAAAATCACCGAGTATCTCTGCGAGCCACTCAGAAAGTGCCTCAAGGACGAGGATCCCTATGTGAGAAAGACAGCTGCTGTCTGTGTGGCCAAGCTTTACGACATCAATGCTGGACTCGTCGAGGACCAAGGATTCTTGGACCAGCTCAAGGATCTGCTTTCGGACAGCAATCCAATGGTAATTGCAGGATGACTTGGAAAAAAGAAATTTACAAAAAAAATCCATAGTTCGGTATTGATGAGAATATAATGTAATAAAAGGTCGTGGCAAACGCGGTTGCTGCCCTATCCGAAATCAACGAATCTAGTCCCAGTGGACATCCTTTGGTTGAAATGAACGCACAAACCATCAATAAACTTCTCACAGCTTTGAACGAGTGCACAGAATGGGGCCAAGTATTTATTTTGGATTCTCTTGCTAATTATTCACCTAAGGACGATCGGGAGGCTCAGAGTATATGTGAGAGAATCACTCCACGTTTGGCTCACGCCAATGCTGCTGTCGTTCTATCAGCAGTCAAAGTAAGTCAGTTCTCAAATAAATCCTAGTCATTTTGGATTCTGTTTTAATGGTAAATTTCATCGTCTTAGGTATTGATGAAACTTATGGAGATGCTGCAAGCCGAGTCTGATTTCGTTGGAACTCTGACGAAGAAACTAGCACCACCACTAGTAACTCTTTTAAGCTCGGAGCCTGAGGTGCAGTATGTCGCCCTCAGAAACATAAATCTGATCGTTCAAAAGAGGCCGGATATTTTGAAGCAGGAAATGAAAGTATTTTTCGTGAAATATAACGATCCGATCTACGTTAAACTCGAAAAGCTGGACATCATGATTAGACTAGCTTCACAGGCCAATATAGCCCAAGTCTTGTCTGAATTGAAGGAGTACGCCACAGAAGTGGACGTGGATTTTGTAAGAAAGGCCGTGCGAGCGATCGGTCGCTGCGCCATCAAAGTTGAGCCGTCAGCTGAGCGCTGCGTGTCGACGCTCCTTGACCTCATCCAAACCAAGGTCAACTACGTCGTTCAGGAGGCAATCGTAGTTATCAAGGACATTTTCCGCAAGTATCCAAACAAGTACGAAAGTATAATCTCCACTTTGTGCGAAAACTTGGATACGCTCGACGAACCCGAGGCGAGGGCTTCCATGATCTGGATCATTGGCGAGTACGCGGAGCGGATAGACAATGCTGATGAGCTCCTCGAAAGTTTCCTGGAAGGCTTCCACGATGAGAACACTCAGGTCCAGCTGCAGCTGCTCACTGCTATCGTCAAGCTTTTCCTTAAAAGGCCGACCGACACGCAAGAGCTTGTACAACAGGTGCTGAGTCTTGCTACCCAAGATTCAGATAATCCAGATCTCAGGGATCGTGGCTTCATTTACTGGAGATTGTTGAGTACCGATCCTGCGGCGGCTAAGGAAGTCGTGCTTGCGGAGAAGCCGCTCATCTCCGAGGAAACAGATTTGTTGGAGCCCACACTACTGGACGAGCTCATTTGTCACATTTCCAGTTTGGCTTCGGTTTATCACAAACCGCCCACAGCGTTTGTCGAAGGGAGATCTGCGGGAGCCAGGAAGTCACTTCCCGCTAGGAGTAATTCTAACGACGAAACATCGCGATCGCAGCCACAGGCCCAAGTTATACCGGCGCAAGATTCGCTCATTGGCGACCTTCTCAGTATGGATATTGGCGGTCCACCAATCGTACCTCCGGCACCAGCCGCGTCAACTGGCTTGGGTCTGGATCTATTGAGTAGTGGTCTTGATGGTATTTTGGGAGGGGCTGCGGAAACGAGCGCACCGCAACCATCCGTGTCACAGACCACCACGGGTTTGTTGGGTGATATTTTTGGTTTTACTCAAGGAACTACATCATATGTGGCACCTAAAGTCAACTGGTTGCCAGCTGAAAAAGGAAAAGGCTTTGACATCTGGGGAACGTTTGTAAGAAAGTAAGCGTCTTTCTTTCATCTTTTGTACATTAATCTGATTTCCAATCTTACTTAATGTTTAAATATTTATTTTAGAAATGGTCAGATTCATATGGAAATGACATTAACAAACAAAGCTATGCAGCCAATGGGTGGTTTTGCTATTCAACTGAATAAAAACAGTTTTGGTTTGACGCCTGCGGCACCACTTCAAGTTCCGGCGCCTCTGAATTCTGGGCAAAGCATAGAAACAAGTTTGATTTTGTCAACTGCAGGGGCAGTACAACGCATGGATCCTTTGAACAATCTTCAAGTCGCGATTAAAAATAATATCGATGTCTTCTATTTTGCTTGCATAGTACCTATGAATGTTTACTTTGGTGAAGATGGCCAGCTAGACAAAAGGGTGTTCCTTTCGACGTGGAAAGATATTCCCTCGCAGAATGAAGTAAGTGTCAATTAGTCGAGTTTAATTAATAATTTTATAAATTATGGTTTTCATTAAACATATTGTATTTCTTCAGGTTCAGCATACCTTGTCAGGTATAATGTTGACAAGTGACCAAGTGGTTTCAAAAATGCAGCAGAACAATGTTTTCACAATTGCAAAACGAAATGTTGAAGGACAAGATATGTTGTATCAATCACTGAAGCTTGTCAACAATGTATGGGTGCTAATAGAATTGAAGATTCAGCCAGGAAACCCGGATATACTAGTATCATTAAAATCAAGATCTGTAGAAGTAGCCAATGGAATTTTCCAAGCCTACAATGCTATTTTGTATTTATAAATTATAACCATTCCATTAACATCAGATTCATGTACATTTGTTAATTATGACAATTATCTAGCATTGGAGCCCAATAAAGATTTTTTTTTGAAAATATATTTCAACATGTTGCGCAAAACCTCGATTTTATTATTTTAAAAATTTTTCACTATGTAATTCGTTGAATATGTAAAAAATATTAAATTGAGTTTTATTTACATTCAAACTTTTTAATTTAACCTAGTTCAATACCCAATCTATACTAAATTCATCCATACCATATAATTGTTCATTTGAGTAAATCAACTTATTGATTAGATTATAATACTACTTTATTTGTTTAAAAAAACTGGGAACATGGAATAAGTGGTTTCATGTACAAAAACATATCGTACCTTTTTTAAGAATTTTTTTGTTTTATTTAGAATAAAAATTTATTTAAATAAAATTAGCATTGAACTTTCCTCCTGAACGAACATCCTTCCGTCAAACGAGCTTTGCCGCCTGTTGGAGTGCACAAATAAGTTCCACAGCTATCGCATTGAACTGGCTTTTGGGCATGGGAAAAGATTGTCTTGATGACATAGCAGCCAGGACATTTTACATCCATGAAATAACTGTTTGGTTTTTGCACCAATCTCTTCAATTTGTGTTTCTTCTTCTCCTCTGCAGGAGATGGATGAAGGAAATCTTTAGCCAAAGGCATGTTCTGTAATTTAATTGATACACATTAGGTAATAAAAATCAGTATGCACGTTTATCAAATTAGGGAAGTGGAGTATTGAGCAGTTACAGAAAATAGATGGAAACATAAAACAAGTTTGTAAGCAAGTCAAAACACTGCTCCTCACGGAAATTATGATAATTACGAGGTAATAAGTAGGCGGAAATTTTTATTTTTTGCATTAAAACTTTCGTGGTATACACAATCTCAATTAAGAGAAAATACTACAAACACTTTCAAAATGGATATTGCTGAATCAATATAAGGTTAAGGTTGAGTTTACTAAGAATGTCTCGTTGAGCTTTATCGATTAAAAAAAAAAAAATTAATCACTAATATTCACCAAAACTAAATTTTTTTTCGCGTACAAACAATTTAGCAACAATTAATGTAAACAATTAAAAATTCGCGTGTTAACTCCAAACGTATTGACATCTACGATATCGGTCTTGTCTTGAGCAACTTTTCGGCGAGGTTACAGCCTTGAAGGGACCAAAATGATTTAAAAAACCAGTACTCCACTGTTTCAACAATTAATGTTGTTTATTAGAAACTACAACTTACGTATTATTTGCTTTATTACAGGAAAAATTCACAAATCAAAGCTTTAGCCACGTGTGTTCGTGAAGCAACTCGTACAACGCGACATTAGAAAGAAAGTATGGTTGGAATCGAGAATATACGATGTTTGCTCAAACAAAGAGGGCGTGCGTGTTCTACTGATGTTCTAGGGACATTTTTTATGTAAGTGAATGTAACTAAGATTTTATGTGTGCGCGTGCGCGTGATGTTAGGGTTTTTTTCGCCGCAATGCCCGCAATCCATGCAGATTTATTTTTAAAAATATATACTTACTAAACAATTTTAACATAATACTTACTTACCATAGGGATTCAAACTTTGCATCAAAGAAAAATGAGGTAATCATATCGAAAAATTTTAAATAGCTGAATGATATAAAATACATCGAAAATAAATAATTTAATAAACATTGCCATTTCCATCAGTCAGTGGCAGGAAGTAGCTCGCTAATATAAAATAAAGTAATAAATAAACAAAGAAAGAGAACGTAATGAAAATTAGGATCACTTTAAAAAAAAGATATTACTAAGTAATTAATATAAAGATCAAAAATAAAAAAATTCATGTAAAAATACACATATTTTACTTTATGTAAAACAAAAATATAAAAATCACAAAAATTGAAAAATAACAAAGCAAGTTTTTCAACTTATTTCGCATACGATATATGTCTATAATGTTGCCATTTATACAAGAGCATTTGTACAATTTTTTATTTAAACCAGACTCAAAATGAATCAGCGACAAAAAATTTTACTATCATTTAATCTTACAATAATATATATCTTCAACGCTATTCTTTTTCTTGTCCATTTGCTATGCAATTCGAATCCAAAATGTAATAAAACGCTTTGGAAGAGGGTTCTTTTTGTTTACTTTAAGAGGTTTTTCTTGTTTGATTGTATAAGATCCATTACAAGCAAAAGTCGTATATTGCAAATCTAGCATGGGATATGCATAGCTTATGTATTAATAATTTGTGTTACAATTTAACCTACTCCGTTGAAAAGTACAAAACAGACATTTTATAATAAGAAAATCTTTAACATTTTCGTAAATTATGTAATTACTCATCGAAAAGGCAAAAATTGAACACTTATAAAAATTAGAATAATTTTTATCAACTGTCGTCCTTGTTATAGAACAATAGTCCTACACCTATTCCATTTGGAATATTTCATAATCACATAATGTTTAATAAATTTCTTGTTTCTTCAATAGAATTACATAACTTCAAACATAAATTAACTGCTTTTGACGTTTACGATTACACTATACAAATAAGAAAATCAATCACTTGATTAACTTCGTACAAAGACAATTTGAAATAGAGGCACTACTGCAAGCACGCCTGAACCTTCTCGATCCATTCTTGTGCCGTTGTTGCGTCGCCTGCACAGAAGTTGTATGTCCGACGATTTGTGCGAAGCTGAGACAAATAATTAATGTATTTTTAGGAACTAATTAAAAATATAACTGGAAAAATCAATATTAAACTTACATCGAAAAACGATTTGTCGTCTGTCTTTTTTCCAGGTGCTTGTACAGGTGTTGCAGGAGTTACAGAAACAACTTCAGCAAGATCTGAAATCAATGTTGAAAAATTAATAGTAATCAATTTTTTTTTTAATTTCCAGTATGTACCTATGTAACCCTTGCAGTTGGAATCTTCCATTGCGTCATAATATCTAAGTTGATGTTTTATTGAATCTAGAACAAACCACCTTTGCTTCCACCCCTTAAGTAGCGCCCCACGTTTGTACAAGTACCCTTCATGCGTTCGATTTTCGGCTACATTACTAGAAAATTGTTCATAATATTGTTGTGATGAGGTTTGTAAGGTTGTGACGCCTAAAACAGAAAAAAAGTTATGAAGCAATTATTTGAATAAAACTTTACAACGATCAAAAGTAACAACTAGTACTAACTCGAATTAACGCTTCCGTTATCACCTCCATTACGAGTGAGGGTGTGATTTTGTACATTCTCCGACCCTACCGTCTTGTATTTGGTGCAATTCTTCGACACGGAATCGGCACATTTTTCATGGCATACGTGTCCACAGTCGACGCATCTAATACCAGCTTTCACAGGACCCCACAAAACCCCAGAGCACGCATCACAGTGCGTTGGTGTGGCTGTATCCAGTCTTTCAAATCTGGATGAAAAAAGGTACATTTATCAATTTCTTTCCAAATTTATAAATTCTTAATTATTGGTTATTTTGTCATTTCCTACCTGTGAGGATGAACATAAGCCGGAGAATTTTCAGTTCCAGTCGCGCTACTTCCAGCAAGTTTTCCCTTGAGTAATAATTCTAATGTAGAACGTTTATGAATTAATCGCCCGTGATGTCTCACGAGAGCTGTACTAAACGATGCGTGTCTCTGCAATGAATATTCATAAAATCACTCAAGTGCAAAACTTAGAGCTGATTAAATTAGAATTTTGAAAACTCACCGTTAGTGAATCAGTGTTGGGCAACTCAAGCTTGTCCCACAACACTTTCCACTTCTGAGGCAAGTGTCCCAGTTCCGTTTCAAGTTTGTGAATTTCCTCCAAAAGATGTGTAAACTGATCGGGAACCATCGAGTTAACGCTGTTGTACCCTTGGGTAACGACTTTTCGATTGCTTTTAACGATACCATCGGCAGCCTCTGCTTCTTCTTCTTGTTGTGAATCCTGCTGGAGTATCTCGAGATCATAAGCCGGTCCGTGGGCCAACTCCTCTTCCAAATAGTAATTCCAAATGTCCAAACAAGAAAGCTCCGATACCGGTCGAAGAATCGGGTGCTCGGTGTTTGGAGTGAACAAGAAGTTGTAAAACAAAGGACACCTTGCATGCTGCTTTTCTATGTAATCGAATATACTCTGACCCAAGTTGGGTACGGCATGCGTACCAGCCAATCGTCCACCCGGATAAATGGTGTCGTCATCACTACCGGTGTCCACACCCTTGTGATGACTCGTGAGAGAACCGCGTTTGTCTTCGACTGCAGTGATTCCGCACTCGACTCTGTCAAACTCACAATCAAGCAAAAAAGTCCTAAATCGGCAGGATACCGAGTGATACGCGAGAAACTTCAAGTAGTAATCATTAAATTCGAAAGCAAGGGGAAATTGACGTTGGATCTGGTGTACGATATCGAGGAATTGAAGAAACGTGGGCGTGAAATTAGTCGTTTGCGAATGTGCTGCAAGATTACTGCGGTGGCCGAACCGATGGCCAAAACCAAGCCACTCCTTTTCGATGAGCGTGCGGAAACCTTCGATTGTGCGATAATGCGGATCCATGCATATTTGAGCGACCGAGCATACCGTAGCTGTGGTGTCCCAACCATCTTCTAGACATACTGCCACAGAAGAGCCTTGTAGATCCATGAGATCTATTACTGCACCAGACAACTGCATCAAGTTTCGCAATTGTTGCAACCACTCTGAACTCTCGATCAATCTGAAATTCAATGAGTTCATTTGTTAAAAAAATATCACCTTTGAAAACATTTGATTTACGTACTTATAAAAACTTGAATCCGGTTCTACACTAGGTGAGCTTGGCACACAGGCTCTGACGAGTTTTTTGAATGCGGCTTTAGTATGCCTTACGTCGTAAAACTCAACTGGAATGAAGTCAGTTTTGGGCGCCGATTCAGCTTTGACACCCTTTAGAAAAATCCAATGATAAACATTAATATATTTCTTAAGTAAAGTTGGGAGCATTGTTCTGACGTAGTACCTTCATATGCGACTTTTCTCCAAGAATGTACAGAGCAGCTTTTTGAAAAGTATGAACACATTCGGTGCCACTATCGGAATCAGCAGAGTGTCTCACGGTGCCTCTTTGATTCGCCGACACCAAAGATGCCTGAGAATTGTGCCTCTTGTCCTTTAAAGATCCCCACCTACCGAAATTGTTTGGACCTTTACCTCCAGAACTGCGTGCAGGTAAGAGAATGCGTGCGTTAAACGATAGAGTGCTAAGAGTACAAAGCTCATTCCCAGAAAAGAAATAGTTTGAAGCAATTTACCCTAAAGTTCCCATGGCTTTGTTAAACGGATTCCGCCGCGACTGCTCTGGAGTCGCGTTTCTATCTTCAGCTGCCAATAAAAGCGAATCGATGCTTAATGAGCTTTCCGACATACCCCATGCTGAATTCTGTCGCAATATCGACACCGGAGTATTGGCGACGAGAGCCGTTAAGTATTTTTCTTGTTCTAGCGTCGATGTGCTTTCGGATGAGCTTGCTAAAAATATAAATCCTCATCGTTTAGATACATTCTGCTTATGATAGGAAATTTATTTGAATAAAAAAGATAAAGCACCTTTGAGATTTCCAGCAGATGTCGGATGAGCCTTAAGCATACCCATTACGCTCTTACCATGATATCCGGCACCCCTAATGATCAGTGCTTTGGTGCGCGGATGGCGCCAAGTAACTATAGGAATTCGATTATGTCTGTAAAGTCTACAAAACCTACGAATGCTCTCGTCAGACACGGAGGTAGGAACTATAAATAGAGCAGGATAGCTTCGGCATATCATATAGGCACAATTAACTGACGTCAGTCGGAACGGCTCGTTGCGTCGATTGTTCTGCGGGCCGTTTGAGCATAAGCCAAGACGATACCAGTCGCGCACGTAGCTGCGCTCAGACAGTCGTTCCAACGTTTTGGCATCTGTCACCGGTGGAACAACGATCCCTGGCATTTCAAATTCATCGACTACAACATGAATGATGACAATTCATGAGATGACTAGAAATAAAGTAATGGACACGCGCACGCGCTGAGTTGCGTGACGTAACTCTTACCGCTTAAATCATCGTCGTGGCTTAAATCATTATTTTCTGTTATTGGCAAACTCATGCGACTGGGAGATGTCATGTATTTATTGTTACTAGTGAGATTCATGTTTGGCAAAACGTATTTTTGCCGTTTCGAGGATTGCTTCGGCTTAAAGCCGGCCTTTCTTGCTGTATTTAAGAGAGTTTTTTTTGCAAAACCCCTGAAAAAAATTTTGAGATATCAACAAAACCAATTTTTTTTTTTTTTTTTTCATAATGCAGGAGCAATTTTGTATAACTTACTTGAAGGAAGCGTGCTTTTCTTTGTCTTTATTGTGAGTTGTGGGGGTAACCAGTACTTGTCCGCAAAAAGCAAAATGATGAAAAATGTGTGGAGGATTTCGAGCCTTGTGAACCAGTTTGCGCAGAGTTTCAATATTTTCAGGCGTCACTTCTTCGTCAAACATCAATTTAATCAACTGGAAGGTGCACGAACGTAATTGGAGACCTTCTTGCTGACATTGATCGATTTGAGCCAAGTGTGGAACGGGAACTCGTTTTTCTTTTGTCAACGAAGTCACCGGAAAAGCTCGAACTACCATCTGTTCGCAAGCTACGGAAAAAAATGGTATTTAAAAATGAGCGATTAACGGATAAAAAAAAAAAAAAAAAAAAAAAAAAAAAAAAAAAAAAAAAAAAAAAAAAAAAAAAAAACAGTAAAGTATAAAAAAAATTACCAAAACGGTCGCAGGGGATTCCTTTGAAAACGATCCTATAGTTCGTGAGGAATATCGCTCCTTCTGCAGGTAAGAAAGGCGGTGTCCTTGGAGGACCACTAGAGCCTTCTTCCCTGCCATCAGACAATAAATATACGCGCAAGCCATCCATTATGATTTCCTCTCCAGGCAACATATTGGGTGTCAATATTTTTGGCTGATAAAAAATGTTAAAACAATAAATTTTTCAAATAGTAAAAGTGATAAAATGAGTTACCGATACAAGTTAAATAAATCTTACCTTCTGAATGGGAGGCAGCCGTTTGCTTTCGCGGTGCACAGCTTCCAGAGTTTCGATGTGCATATGAACGAGACCCGGTACCATTTGGTGAAGGCACCTGACGTGTTCGGTACTTACGCCGCCCTCGGTGCATACGCGATCGACAAATCTCGAGACCATCCGAATAACCACGCTACCCATTTCTCCAGGATCCGTTTCCTCAAAACCAGACTCTGCGTCACCGCTGTCACTAGCTACACTATTTGTTATGCTGTTGCTTGCTCGCTCGTCGTCTAAAATGTGTCCTTGGCGATGATTCTTGGCTCCCATGTCTAATGGTACAAGTAGATTTACCATTCTGTTGGCATAATGAATAGCTTGACTGTAAAGTGTACTTTCTTCGCTGGCGATTAACTCTCGCTGCTTTTCCTGACTGATAGAAGAGGTTATTCGCATTTGTTCTGCAGCAATTTCTAGAGCTGACGCTTCCTGACTTCGATAAAGAAGAGTCCTATCTCTGAATGATAGTTCCTTGTTGTCCCTTGGACTCGTGGGACTAAGAATATTATCATTCAGTCTCATCAGATTGTTATCACTGGGTACATACAGACGTTTGATGTCTTTCTGTACATCTAAATAAAAAGCATCCTCCCAAAACTGCTGATTCTGCCACACTGCGTGCTCTTGGATGCATGTGTAAGCAAACTGAATAACTCCAGTGCAGAGCTTTCTGCAAAAAGCAGCAGCAAGTGGTAGTAGTGCTCCTGCTACTCCATGCTCGTCCATCGACGAGTCGTCCTGAAGTGCACAATTCATAAGCCTTACTACGAGATCGAACTGTTGGTGTTCCAGCATTGCTTTGTTGCCGACGACATGTTGCGATAACTCAGCACAGAGTGCAAGCCTTGCGGCTTTGCTTTTTAAAGCACGGAGTACTGCAGGAAAGGTCTTTCGTGCGTCCGATATCTTGTTTTCAAAAATGCAGTTGATGCAACTACGCAATACTTCGAGCCGGCGTGCTGAGTTACTGACCAGATGGCGGGTTTCGTGTGTTATTGATATGTGTGGTCCCACTGGAACGATTCGCGGCTGAATTGGCCTTAGAGACGACAATCTAACTTTGAGATTGCTTTTTGCCAGACCTTCGTCAATTATGGCATGTACCGTTTCAGGATTTATGCGAGGAAGAGACGGCTGGTGAATTCTCGCAAAAGCTCCCTCAGGAGGCTTTAGAATTTTCTGAACATATGGCTGAGGATTGGGATTTTCGTTTGTGTATAGATGTTGTGCCAATTCTTGAATGTGCGTTAAGATTAATCGATGATCTTGTGCTTCCTGTTTTAATAGATCGTTTAAGTTACTGTGTAATTCATCCCAGACATCGCAAGCTCGCCACGGTGGACCTCTTTCAGCTACAAATGAAGTGAAAAACATGCAGTCCAACACTCGCGTTGTAAAATCACAGTCTGTCAAGTTACGTTCTCCGAGAAAAGCGGCCTGTAAAGATAATTTTCATTCCTCGTCAATTAAAGAATTATTTCAATTTGTAATGGAGTTGAACAATGATTTACTTTGTGAAATGTTATAACTGGTTTAGGATGAATGCGAATGAGCGTGAGACAGCTACGATAACCCTGTAAAAGTTGAGCAAAAGTTCTCATAAAAACGGCGCGTAATTCCTTGTCTAGCATTGGCGGGTGTGGTGCTCTCGTTGCTAACGGTGGAAATGCATAATCAGCGCAAGCTAATTCTGGCTGCAGCACTGACGATAATGCGTCTTGCATTTGTGACAAAAGTGGTTCCGGTAGCAGGGAGAGTGACACACTATCAGGTACCATGATCGAACCACCATCCAAATCCGCCACAATAACATCCATCTGAGCACAAATTTAATTACTTAAATTGATAGAGATTTTTGAAAGAATTTTCGTAAAGGTAATCTGAGATTTACCAATTCAGCTACTTCCGATTTTAGAGAGCTATGCACGCCCATTATAAAAGGAGTTGGGGTGCTCAAAACTTCGACTAGAGCAGCTGGCAAAAGTGGAATGTATACGTGATTATAACGAAATGGATACATCAAAGCAATAAGTGCTCTACAGCCTTCGGTTAATCGTGAATAACTCGCAGAGTGAAACAGAATCTTGTGTTCTGTCATAACAGCACAGAATAATACCAACACATTGCGAATACCTAGGAAAAACAAAGCATCAGTGATACGATGCTTTTTTAAATACATCTGACGTCATGCCGGTGATGATTATTAACCAGTTACTTACCCAACTGCTGAAATAACAAATTAACGCTAGTGTGAGTAATGGGAAGTGAGGGGCTAATGGGTGGTTGCAACGCTTGTCTATCGCCGGCACCAATGCTAAAACGAACTTGTGGTCCACCAGCTGGTGGCACTTGTATGCATCCCAAAATGTTGCCAACAAGAGTTTCTAAGGGTATTCCGAGATTTTCTATGTAAACCGTATAAATAATGCCAAGGCAATTCTGTGTTGAAAAATTAAAAAAATTAACTACTAGCGCCAACTAACAATAAGTATTCAAGAAACTTTAATGTTTTAGAGATACATACCCGAAACGTTTCAATGTAATCTAATCTAGATACTAAAACCAAACATTTCGGAGCATACATGATGCTGTGATGGGCAACAGCAGGCAAGGCTTTAACGACTAAAGTTCTGCTATCTCCATCGACAGTGTCTTCTTCTTCATCCACTGGTTTGCTTGGTGTTATTGAAACTGTCTCGTTGAAGCACATACAGGCACAATAATGCCTGTTTGCGTCTATATCTGTCAATATCGAGACAAAGAACCTTGGCTCTTGCCTCTCGGTGGAGAGAGCCCATCCTTGAGGTTGACAGAACTGCAGTAAACAATGTAATGCATGAGAATTTGATGAAAGATACCTAAACATACGGTTTCTACACACGCTTCAACGATTGAAAAGCTTACCCATTCTATTCCTTCGATGAATGGAGTGTCAGGCCAGTCTTTTTCCGGAAATCTTTGTAAAATGATTCCACTACTTGTACCACTCCCTGGTGAAGAAAAACATTGGTATTTAAAATCGAAATGACAACGTGCAAGGAATTCAGAGTTTTCGGTACTCACTCTCTTTTTCATGATGGTATCCCACAATGACAAAGTAATCTGCCAACCGAGACATCTCGGTATACTCGTGGGTACTCATCCCACATAGAATCTTGTGGTATCATGCGGATCTGCAGCAAGCGGTAAGCCTCAAATCTCTTTGTTTTGCCAAACAATCGACTCGCAGATTCCAAATCAACAGATGTCATGTGTTCTATTGCCGTTGCTGCCGCTCACCCAGCCATGACAGCTACATATGCTGCTGCTGCTGCAACATGACGTACTTACTTAAACTCACTGCATGGCCTGGGGCATTGTCCTGATCTTGTTCTCTCTTTCTCTCTCCACCGCTCGATCTCGTCTTTTGTGCTCCTCTCTCTCTCCCTCCGTCTTATTTACTTCTTCTTCGACACTTCAATCACGTGTGTATACGCAGGCAAAAGGAGGTATACCCTCACATCAGGAGCAGAAAGTATCAACTGTATCAAGTAATGATATATACTAACGATAAACGATTAGTAAGGTCACCCTCACATTGACAAACGCACGCACACATAGACACAGTTACGCTGTCACGCGGAATGGAAGCTCGACAAAACTCTAGTGCTCAGCTCTACCCATGAATGCCGTGCAATGTGCAGTAAGCAACAGTAATTAACAGTTCACTGGTTGACAACATTTATGATTTACAAATTGTCCCGCGCGCACTCATCAAGGGAGCCACACCCCGAAACAATGAACATCATATCAAGTCGCCGTCAATCCATAACCCTTCCGGATGGACGACGGGTACATTTTACTTTGACAACGCCGTGTCGAGATTGAAATACGCATAAAAAGGCTGATAACAAGTTCACAGTATAGTATAGAAATTGAATAATAGTCACAAGAAGATGATCGAGCGCTAATGTAATGTAAGTATTAGTCTCCGTCGACGATGCTGTTGTTGCTGATACGGTACTGATTAAACAGATGCGCTACCGCGCAGCATCGCAAGAACAGAAAACGACAGAAAAATCCTCCCCGTAGCAAACGCCACCTGTAAACATCATGCGGACAATTTTAGAATGATATTTTGCGGAGCGGTGTCAAGAAAATAATATGCTAAGGATGGAAAATTTATTGGATTTACAACATTTTTGTTGCTATTAACAGACTTACTTACACACTGTGCACTTTACGGATATTGAAACAATGAATGGATGCTAAGTAGGTAAGTGATAAGAAAAAAAAAACATATTTTTAATCTTCACGATGTTTTAAAGGGGCAGTAATCATTGGAGCTTCCTCTAAGCAACTATTATTATTTGATCAAATCATCCGATGTCCCCCATGAAACTGTCCAAATAGGTATAAAACATGCCCAGTATGCCTACACATGTTTATAACAAATTTATATCAGCTTGCATTAGGCTCAACTCCTTACTTCTTTACTTTGCTTTCTCTCGTACCCCTACGAATTGACATCAGAGTAAAAAAATAATACGTAAAACAACGTGGTTTGCCCTGCTGAGGGCCTCTGATATACATTTATTTATTGTATGTCTGAAATTTATTGAATTTCTGTCAAGCCTTGAGTACAATATAAATGTAATGCCTATAATTTATATACATTTATAATAGCAAAAAAATTAGATATGAGTTTTTAAGATAACAAGGACTGCACACAGGTTTCTGGAAAACCTTTAGCAGTTTTTATGTAATGCTACCCCATGCATAAAATGTACCCCTTACACCTTGTTTCAATAAATAAATAAATAAATAAACTACACGGTTTCTTCAACAGCTGCATCCGTATATTTTTTCTTCGTTTTTTTCTTGAAAGGAAAAATAAAACGCTTCAAGTATAGAGATACTTGGAGATTAAAAAAAAACAGCGTTGGAGCGATGCTGCTGCAGTGTCTCTCTCTTTCAAGTCGATCTCTTTCTTTCTCTCGATCCATGGCATAAGGTAGGTATATCCACGAAACTCATCTTTACATAGAGAAATATATACCTACTTAGATAGGAGCTACTACTTGTAAACCTCTCATTACACAATTTCAGCTCTATCGTGTACAGGAACTAGGAATTTTTGACATTTATTTAAAGACAAGTGTATACTACAAAGGCGAGTTTGTAAAATGTTGAGATCCAGATGAAGAATTCGATAAAAAGAGATATTGATTCCATGAATATTGCTAAATGCTAAATTATGAAGAATTCAAAATATTTTGCATATTTATAAAAAGGAATAAAGTAAAAATTATTTCTCTGGGCCAAGTATTGAATTAAAACACATCAATTATCTTCTCTTGAAATTGGATGATAAACAATAAGATATGTAAAAAAAAGTAATAAGAAAAATAAGACAATGTAATCGCCTAAAGAGTAAAGCTTTATTTATCTTATACTTATTTTTTACGACACACATCTGCTTTAAATGTTTTAAAATTAATTTTAAAATGATCGTCTCAGTAATATGGAAATCTACTAAAGTTGTTGCGGATTCTAACTGAGTATGAAGGTTTTCGTATGGATTAAAAAAATTAAAACTGCATATAGAAACAAATATAGATGAGGATAATATTTACAGCATTTTATGCGATCTATGTAATTTTATTAGTTTCAGTATCTTAAAAATTACATGAAAAATCAAACTAGTTATTAACAATAAAGATCATGTATAGCGAAAAAAAATTAAATTGCCAAACTTACAGTGAAATAAAAATTTAATCAATTTACGTAACTATTCAAAATTCAGTGGACGATTCGAGCATACGTAAACATAAAGATATGCTTTATTTAATGTTTATTATTTTGGAATAAAAACTCTATAAAATGTTTATTATTTTTGATGATTACGTTTTTTTCTTTTCGTATCTTTTTTTTTTTTTTTTTTTTTTTTCCCAAGTACTTTTCCTTTATAAAACAGAAAATAGTGCATTCACAAACTTTTTTTTAATTATTTGAATCACTGTTTATACCAAATTTCGAAACAGCCGTCTATTATTGGTAATCAATGTTATAAGTGCATCGTAAATACACAAGTAACTAGTGTTTACCATGTCATAAGACAGCCTTGTGTATTTTTTAATTTACAAAATGGCAATGTTATTTGTAATTATGAGGTGAAAAGTATTAATATCATACATTAATAATTATTGCTAAAAATAATTACTATTAGAATAATGAAAATAAAATTAAAAATATAAGAATGACCAGTAAACTCTGAAAAAACAATGAGAAACGGTATCGTATAACATTATATAATATCCGATTAAATTTACAAGCCGTCTCGTTACTTTTCCGCCCTCGGGTGGTTTTGGGAGGCTGGTACTTCCTCGGGCAAAAAAGCAGTTTTCCGATACTCGTTCGAAAAGTCTCCTTTACGAACCTCGTTACGTCCCTCGCCTTCGGCTCGGGCCGCAAACCTCTCGGTTCGCAAACAAAGACTTTTCAAACTCGTAGGAAAACTACCATTACATATTTTCATTGAGTAGAAACGATCAATGACTCATTCGATTGATAACTAAAAAGAATCATATTTAATACTAATTTTTATTCTCAAAATATGGTGGCTTTTTGACATCACAATGAGCGTTTAAATCTTGCGTAACTGTCACTTTTTGATTGTTAATTTTCTTTATTTTGTTGAAAACTATGATTATCAATCACCAAACAGTGATGGAAGAAAACAAAAAGAGGCATGTAATTTCAAAAGATCGCGAGTTATCATCATTTTCAGATTATTTAAAAAAATGGTCGATGTATGTATTCATTAGATCTATTCAGCTGAGCTGCTTAACAGAATAATTCGTGTTATTTTTCACAAGCTATCATGACCAGGAAAAAAATTGAACTTAATTAAACCAAGTAAAAAATTAACAATCAAAAGGTTCAACAATCCACGCTATAATTTCTCAAGGCTTTTGTTTTACCGAAAAGCTACGGCGTTATCACCACGATTATTATCACGCGACAAACTTCAACGTTTTTAAGTAATTAAAAGTGCTGCCACTGGCCGGATGCGCTATTCGAGCTCTCAGTGGCCCGAGCGATGGTCTCGTAGAGGCCGTGGCTGAGCCACATCTCGTTCAAGCGCTGATACTTCTCCGGGCAAAGCTTGAGCGGGTTACCCCTGTGCAAGCCCTGATCCGTCTCGCCATACTCATCCAAATACGGAGGACAGCCGTAAGAGCCACGATACGGGCTGCGAAGGAAGATAATTTCGCAGTCACGTACGCGCAGAAACACACCGACGCCGGCTCCGCATTGGCTCGCGTGTTTCGTGCACGCGCCAACATTGGCGTTGTTGAGATCGGTTTGACAGCAGTAGCTCTGGGAACAGAGCATGTGGCCGCATACGAGGCACTTTGTTGGATTCCGCGAGTCCTCTTTGTCGCTGTTCGGACAAGTGAACATGGACACCTGATTCATGAGTTCGCTGTAGTCATCCGGCAGCTCGACCAGCCGATTTATCTTTAGAGGCTCGCGAACCGCCTTGTCCTTTTCAACCATGCCCGGATGCTTCGACCACTGAACAGCCAACTGTAGGACTTTGTCAGAGTCGAACAGAGAAGCAGAGCTCTCCGGCAGGCCCAAGTATCGGCATATATTCTCGTACGTGTCACCGCCTCGCACGGTCAGCTCCACCGGTGCTGGAACGTCCGTCACGTAGTGAAAGTAAAGAATGCAGCAGCGTAAGAACGGGCCGCAGCACTCTTTAACCCGCTTCCAAATTTCAGCCAGCGATAACTTTCCGGTTTTAACGTTGAGAGAATTCAGGACCGCAGCAAGCGCGCTATGGTCAGCGATCTCATCGGTCTTTTCCATTACGTCGGAGTCGATGTCGTCATCGATATCCATTTTTTCGTCTTCTTCGAAGTTGGAGAGCAGGAGAATTTTGACGACTAGAGCGGTAAACACGAGACGCACGGCATGGATTTCCGCAATGTTTCCCGTGATGATCGATGGATTGTCACCGTTCGCGCTGAACAAATTTGCCATGGAGGAGATCAATGTGACGATCATGCCAAACGGGTCCCAGCTCAAGATGCTGTGGTCGCAGCTACTGTTTTTATCGTCGAGAAGACGGGATAAGCAAGAGAGAGCAAACTCGGCGATATTTTCCGAACAAACTCCAGTCGGGGACGTGGACTGAGTCGATTTGCTCGGCCACGTAGCACCCACCATGGCTGATATCCTCGCGAGGCCTTCAATACTATCCCTCTGTCTGGATGACAGAGCTCCGAGCAGTGGCTTGTCCGTTTCTCGCAATAGAAATTCGATCGCGTGAACGGTGTAAGCCGTAGATTGCCAGGCAAGCAAGGGCACGCGAGGGTCGCTATCGTCGGGATCGCATTTCAAGCCCTTGGTGTAGGTCGTTTGAGTGAACAGCTCGATCATCTCTATGAGGTTGGTCGACAGTTGAGGTCCGGGCTGGCTGTACAGTTTTAGTAGAGCGTCACCGAGTTCGCCGTGAGATTTTATTGCTTCGATCGGACAAGACACAAAATTCGGCCGTGTCTGTGGAGTCTTGGCCGCTTCCGCTTCGACTTCTTTAAAATAGGATTTTTTTTTTTTTTTTTTTAATCATATGAAAGAACAAAAAACAATTTCTTGAATGTTAAAGATATTAGATAAAAGAAAAAAATGTTACCTGGATTTTTTTGGGAGCTGAGTTTACAGTATCGGCAGCTCTCATCGTGCGAACTCACATAATCGTTGTTCTTTTCATCAGCGCCCTTGCACTTGCAAACTGAGCTCATAATATCGAGCCATTGGTCGAACGTCAGTTCTGGCTGTTCTGTAGGGGTTGGCTGGAGCAGACCGATGGACGGTAACAGTGGCATAACGGTATTACTGAGACACTCGCACAGTGGGCAAAGATACTCGTGTTTCTCGACATCGAAGCTAACTGGTTGTCGAAGTCGGTACGGTCGTCGATTTTCCTTGGTAAGCACGTTATCAAAGTGTCTTTGCCAGCAAGCTGCGTGCATTACATGGCCACAGGTACTCGCGTGCGGCGAAGCGCCCAGGTGTGACGACAAGTAAAGCGACGTCGGCTCTGTTTTACTACGTTCCCGAGGTGGCAATTGGCACAACACCGTCGATTGTTGAACGAATGCCGCCAACACTAAAGCAGGAAGATCTGCTTTGACGGGCTGATTTTCCTGACACAGAATGCACGTGAAGGATTTTTCATGACAAAAACGGTTCGTTTGTCTCGGGCCAAGAGCGACCAATGTTTCGTCGAGACTCTCGCTCAGATCCATGGCCGAGCCTCGCTCAGTTTTAACACCACTGTCTAAAGCCCCAGCTTCTTCAAATAGTTCGGCATTTTTATTCATAAAATGTTTCTGCATGGCAGCCATCTGAGCCATTACTTGGGCTCGTTTTTTCGCTGCCATTTTCATGCGCCATTCTTGGCTACCTGTAAAGAAATTTAATTCATTGGTTAATAGATTGGCTAGCACGTCAATTACCCAAATAATTTTTCACCTGAACTTTTGGATTCTTCACTTTTGGTGGGCTCAGGTGAAGTTGATTCGGTTTTGACTGCGTTAGAACCGGTCACCTCGCTGTACTTTTCAAGCACCCAAGTCAATAAATCTTTATGTGACTCGATCCTTGGGCTGCTGCTCACACTCTTGAGTAACGAGTAAATATCCCATTGGGCTGCTCTTTCGGTGAAATTCAAGAACGGGTAGTACCCGGATTCTTGTTCTTGCAAAGCATAGCCAATCAGATGCAAAACTTTGTGTACTTGAGCTTCTGAAAAGCTTCTGGCCTTGAGATCCAAGGTACGAGTGAGAACAAGAGAGATCATCGACAACATGACGTCACACTGCAGCAGATTAGTCACCAAATTAAACATTTCCGTTAGTCTGGGTAACCTTGGAGGCGGACAACATTCAAGCTCGTTGTTAGCCTTGCGCCTTTTACGCTGTGCTTCCTCAGATTTGCTCAGTTCCTCCTTTGTGTAGTGATAGAAGAATACATTGTACTCGGAATAACATTCAGGTTTGAGCTTATATACACCTTTGCCAGCTGAGGCGACTTTAGGCTTAACAAAATCTGCGACCTCGTTGATTACGCGTTCCATTCCCGTCTCGTGGTGCACACCCTCTGGTAAAGTTTTATTCAGTTCTGAGTGCGACATTGGACTAATGCACAGTTGCTGAATTATCTCGTGCTTCAAGCAATCGTCTGGCGTCACTTGACCTACTCCCGGCATGTATCGTTCTCCGATTATTGTTATAAGAAGTCCTGAAAAAATTTTTAATGTTAGAAAAAAAAAAAAAAAAAGGATCTTCGACCGCTTTTTCCAATTATGCTGCATAATTGTGACATACCCAAGAATTCTTCCACGAGATTAATAGTCTGACGGATGCTATCCTCTTCGCTTGTCTTGAGAAGAGCACTCTCGAAATCAGTTTGAGCCCAATTGACCAAATTAAACTTGTTCAGTATGTGAATAATAAATTCATTGCTTTCTATAAGAGCTGCTCCAGCCTGAAGCAACACAATATCTTTGTCAAGCATCTCTGTTCTGCACTTGACATTGTGATAGAAATACAATTGGTGAATAAGAGAATAACCGTTCCGCCTCCACATCTGCGCCTGAACCTGAGACACCATTGCCTGGGCTCTCAGCACCGGTTCAATGAGCTCTTCTATCGTGACTTTGCTGATTATCTCTGATCCCTGGAAGCTCAGATTGTGCTTCTCAAGATGGAGAAAGAGTCCAGCAAGGAACCGCGAGAGCGGCAGGTGAATGGATACCGGCTCGGTCGAAACGTCATAGTGTATACAGGAGGCACAGTGATTGGCGACCTCACGGAAGTTGATGTGCGCTTTGCCCGGCTGCTCTTCTAGCTTCTGCAGTACCAATCTAAAAGCTCGAATCAGCACGTAACTGTCCGAGCCACACCACTCAAGTGCCAAACTTATTACAGGCGATAGCTTAATGTGCAGATTAAATGCAGACTCCCATTCTTGCTCATACTCCATGTGCTGTCCAACCTGGCGAACGACCGCGTCCATCCATTGCATCATGTTTAGCAGCTGCATCAATCTCTGCATGCCATCCAGAAATCCTCGACGAAGCTCGTTTGTCCAAGTTTCTGGCTTTGCACTAAGCAGATAACGAAGATCATAGAGGATGTAGAGAGCACGTTTGAACGCGTTGTTTGGACTATTTCGATCGAACTCGAGCTTGCCGTGGGGGTTACACCTGCACTGAGACTCCGAGATGAAAGTGTTGAGCAGCTTGTGCAGTGCGTCGTGCTGAGCAATAAGAAGATGGGCCAGGGTGGGCACGGTAAACAACTGAACGGACATTGAAGCTATAGAATAGGGATGATCGTGATCGTCGTTGATAAAGTCCTTGAGCACGTTGCCGTAGTTTTGAGTGAAAACAACGGCCAGGGACTTTTTGTTCTCGTACTCGGTAAGCATCCCCGAGATGAAGAGTCGATGCCAGCAGGCTCGCGCTGATTTCCACAGCTGAAAGTCCCTAAGGAGTATACCCTTCAGAATTGGAAGGTCTGGATGCTTGGCATTGAGTACCACCTGACTAAAGATCGTTCGAAAGCCTTCGCAATGGCTGATAAACTGCTGTAGCCATCCCAAAAGCTTCATGGCAAAGATTTGATGGGCGACAACGTGTGCATGCTTGACGAGCACTTTGAGGGGTCGATTGTTGTGGCGAGACGTGAACTTTTCGATCTCTTGCTTGAGTTCATTGCAATGCTGAAAATCCGAACACTTTACGACCGCCCGACCTTCTCTGTCGATGTTTGAGACGTATTCTATGGCTTCTCTTTGCGTGCATGCGATACTACGAGTCAAAGTTACGATAACTTGGTCAAACGTATGGGACTCGTCGTTAAACAGTACAGTGCAATAGGTGTCGTTTTTCGAATACAAGTCGTCCGTGGATTCTTTAACACATAGGTCGGCGGGGAGACCGGGACTGTGTTCCATTGAGAGCAAGTCGTAGCAGTACTTCAGTACAGCCTGGAACGTAATTGCTGCTCTCTCGGACATGTCATCTGGTAGTCGATTCGATGGAGCATCTTTCACTTCAATGCCGACCAAGTGTATTTTACAAAACGGTTCCTTTTTCCAAGCTTCGACGTCACCGCAGTCGCAGCAGCCGCCACCGATCGAAATTCCCATTTTGTATTTGTGATTTTTGTGGGCAGACTGTTTAAAGCAATCTACGCAAAGGACACAAGTTGAATCCATCCCACACTCCCTGCAGCTATACGTAGAATCTCCAGTTTTGAAGACTCTGCCGCATATTGACGGAGGTCTGTCATTTTGATTGAGCTGCTTCAAGATTTCCCTGGGATTTCCATTGCAAATGAATTCTTCTAGTGGATCGTACAAAGCTTCTTGGGCGTCTTCCTCATCAAAGATCCATTCCAAACAGTTATTGGTTGGTTCTAGCCTGTAAATTTTTGGAACCCAAATCCGCCAATACTCTTTGAAGTGAGTATTGGACAAGATTCCTTGGTCCATTTTTTCCATCCATACTTGAACTGGGGATGGCGAATCTTTTATGATGGGCATTGTCAGGGACAATTCCACATCTGCAATGCTGTGCCCCTCAGGGTCCTCACTTTCTTTACTCATCTGTGATTGATCATGCAGAACAGCTGCTTACTGAAAACAAAAAAAAAGCAAAAACTCATAAGTACATATTTGTAAAAANAAAAAAAAAAAAAAAAAAAAAAAAAAAAAATCGTCGTGAAATTCATTTTAATCGTATTTTTTTTTCATGCTCACAAACACTGTTAAATAAAATAAAAATTGTAAAATAATCTAATCTAAAAATAGATTTTTTTACACTTATAAAGTTGATATGACAAAAGATAATGGGAAGAAAAAGAAGTTGAAAGAAACATTATTATTAGGACAAAAGTGAGACGGAAATACGCTATGAATGAATACAATACAATATTCAAAGATTGCAAGAAACAGTATTGTTCTTTGTTTGAAAGAACAAAGTAAATATAAGATAAAAAAAAAACATTGTAAATCCGTCTTCACAATGGCAAGCAATTATGTATTCAGTCAAACTATTGAATTTTCTTAATAAACATCACAATGAATCGACGTTGGGATGAAAAAAAAGAAAAAGTAATAGAAAATCAGTAAGGTAAGCAGCTGAAGAGGTACTTAGGTATAAAAAAAGAGAGAATGAGCAAATGATGTAGTGTGGATGATGATGAGGCAAGAGGGTGGGAGGGAGAGTCAAAAAAGAAAAAAAGAGAAGAGAATGTCTCATTTAGGCGCACATTGGATTCTTACCAATGCAAGTGCCTATTTTTAGTAAGTCTCGACTTCCAAAAGTGTATAATACACTCACCAGTCGTGGCAGAATTGCGCGATGACGACGCCGAAATCCAAACGCAAAAAAAATCCCCGAGGATTAGATTTGTTCTGCTCTGGTGCTGATTATCAAAAAAGAGAGAGAAAGATAGGCAAACGAGAGAGAGAGAGAAAAAGGGCAGGCAGACTGAAACGTATTATAGCGCTGCCCTGGTTTGTTGATCGTATATAGAGGAGAGCTCAGCTGTGCAATAGCAAAAAATAAAAATAAATTAAATAAAACACACACGACAGATTATGTGCTCTGCAGTTGCGAGAATATATAGACTAAGGCTGAGCTCTGAATCTGTGAAATTATACTGTCAGTAAAGGTCAATACCTATATATATAAGTACAACGCGCAATATGGTTTTTCTCTCTCTATAATATATACCTTACCCGCAGACGACAAAATGTTTACTGAACTTGGCTGACAGTAATTTCGGAGTTCGAACACTACTGCACAAGCACTAGAGCTCAAGTCAAGAGAGGGAGAGAAAGTGTCTCTTTCTCGGGGAAAATCTTTATTCTTACGACTCTCGTCGTCGCGATGATGACGAGGGTGACGATGCCAGCTGCTGCTTCGCCTCGGCCATCCTCTCTTTTTGCCTCTTTTTCTCTCTTTCGCGAATCCTTTTCTATATATCCTACCTCGCTCTCGTGTGCACTAACATGGACAATGGAACGTTTTTAAAGAGATCGGAATACTCCCTTTCTCTTTCGCTCAACATCAGCAATTATAAGCATCACACCAGCTGAGCAAGTTATAGGTATGGCACGTATGCTTATGTATACTTACTTACGCATAAAATTCGTGTAAGTAGAATAACTCACTGAGTACTTAACAAGTAAGTACCTTCAATGACTCCCATGACTCCGATTTGCAATTATAGGTAAATATTACCTATACTGTTCTACTCACTTTCAGACTGCAACTGCAGTACGTTCTGCAATCTGCACGTTGCACACACACAGTGCACACGACAACAATACAAGTATACAGTATACACAATATGGCTCTTTTTTTCATCTTTTGATACTTGTTTTCAAATATACCTATACTTAAGGATGACGATTTACCCCTTCTCTTCTCTCTGCTCAGCTGCGCTTTGTCTTTCAAGTATATAACTTAGACTTCTTTCAAGAATTCTCTGCTGATTGATTAATCTGTGCAGCTAGGCGCTCTCTCTCTCTCTTTTTTTTTTTTTTTTTTTTTTTTACATGTTAGGTGGAGTTTGATCAAATCAGATACAGTGTTTGTGTAAAGAGTCACAAGATTATTAGGTAGGAGAGCATAGCAGAGCAGCGATTTGTTTTTCCATCCGACGACGAATCTTTTATTTTTCGCAAAATAAGCGTGAAGCGTGAACCGTGAAGCTCTCACTAATCTCACACTCTGCCACTTCGCAATCGCAATCGTTTTACTTACGAAAGCGGGGGTAGGAACAACAGAGAAATATTTATTGTAATACATATATATAAAGATACATACAATATGACGAAAAACAAAAAGAAAAAAAAAATTTGCCTCAATAGTTTATAATAAATGTTTACAACTTTTGTAAAATTCATTATTTTATTTATCTTTGGGAAAAGCAAACTTTCAATCAGAGTTCAAACCACTAGATTGTTGAAAAACAACACCATTGGTGCTTAAAAATGGTTTTGAGTTTTTTTAAGTATATATATGTATACATCTTTGCTGTGATTTAGCTGGTGCTACCCACCCAGCATACCCAGCCCCCAGCCCTTGTGCGCTTTATGCGAATATTTTATCTTGATAAAGTTTTGGAGAAATGAAAAAGAGGAAACTTGTACTATTGATAAAAAAAATTCTCATCCTACCTTTTTCATACTAATGGCAGGTGAACGAGGTGAAACTAATATACGTTACATAATGCGCTTACTTTTAAGTTATATCTCAACAGTTTCAACGTCAACAATATTAATCATACATTAAAAATTTTTATTACTGTTTGCAATTGCATCTTGTCATAAATCGAAGAGTTTTTTCAGGACTAGGTAAGTATATAAAAATTTTACCGATAAGTAAATTCTTTTGTTTGTTTAACCTTACTAGCAGACAAAATTTCAAATTGAAATATGACAGAATTTGGCGCTTTTTTACTCTTTATTTCTGCTCCTGTCCGGTGTGTGTGCGGCCTTCGCTTTTTGGCTTGTCGATGAGTATCGAAATCTAACCTAGTTTATTTTAAAATATATATTTTTGATAATTTATTTTCTTATAATTACTTTTTTTGCATAATTGTCATCTTGCAGGGCTATCGAACATCCAACTAAAGTTTCACAAGATTATTTGCCATGTTCAAAAAGTAACGTTTGTATTTTTCAAATGTCAACAATATCGTTTGCCATTGGGCATTGACGTGAATGTATTTTAAAACGATTGTTTATATTTTTGCCAAATTTATTAACACAGATTTGACGAAAAGGACAGTGTCTCCAGTGTACAACAACTGAAAAGTTCTGTGCAGAAGGGAATTCGTACAAAACTACTGGAGTCCTATCCACTTTTAGACAAGTACATTGATCAAATTTTGCCCAAAAAAGATAACTTCAAGCTTGTAAAATGGTTTGTTTATTATTGATTTTTTCAATTAAAATATTCATGATAACAAATTAAAATGTCCCAACTGCTGTAGCCACGACCATATCGAGATTATAGTGAACAGTGCTGGAGAACTGCTATTTTTCAGACAGAGGGAAGGAAATTGGATGCCGACTCTAAAACTTCTTCACAAATGTATTTGCTCTTTTGTTTTTACTATTCTGGTGTGAAAATTCTACTTGCAAGTATACATTTTAATTTTTGTTATGTTTTAGTTCCATTTTTCTTACCACTGCAGCAGGTTGACAAAGGTGCTATTAAATTTGTTCTAAGTGGTGCAAATATTATGTGTCCTGGGTTGACTTCCAAGGGAGCTCGAATGACACCAGCTGAAAAGGGAATCGTTGTTGTAAGTATTCAAACAATAGTTGAATCGTTGGTTACATGTATGAACGAATATAAAGTTTATTTTTTTGTTAATTAAAACAGGCTATAATGGCAGAAGGAAAGCAGCACGCCTTAGCAGTTGGAACAACAACATTATCAACAGAAGATATGTGAGTGTAGATTGTCAAAATTTAAAGAGAAGCAAATTTATTTTATATAATTGTATGTTCATTTTCAGTGCCAAAGTTAACAAAGGAATAGGCGTAGAGAACTGCCATTACCTGAACGATGGTTTGTGGCAAATGAAAGCTGTGAAATAATTTATAACGCAAAAATTTTATAAATCTAATTATTTAAGAATAAACAAGACTTTTACATTAAAAAATTTGATGTTTATTTGATGAAATCTTGTAATCGCTACATACAAGTTGCTCTGCATATATTTTACATAGAGGTTCGTTGAATTTGCCAATCTTACGTACAAGTATAATATATTTTATGACAAAGTAAACAAATGAGATAAAAAAAAACTCAATGAGAAAACCAGTGACTTTTTAGCTGCAAGAAGATGCATTATTTACTCTTTTGGAAAATACACATCTTACAAAAATCGCATCCTCATTATTGTTCTTACTTATCACTACATATCAATCTTATGTAATCTACCTGATTTACTTTACAATTACACCTAGTTAAATAATAGTTGGACGATCGTCGATCAAGCTGGTTCTCCTCAATCAACGTCCCTGTGATAAGTAAGTCTCGGGATGAGGCCATGGCGTTCAACCCGAGCCCGATTTGCCATCTGTCTGGCTATCCTGGCCTTCTACTGCACCCTGGCGTTCGCTTTCACTGTGTACCGAAACAGGTGGGTATGTAGGCGCACCGCCACCTTGCTCTGAGCTGTTCACCGCACCGCCTGGAGCCCCACCCATGGCAGGATTGGCACCAGAAACATCTCCATGTGGACTTTGTGGATGGTAATGCGGACTGTGTGGTCCGTGCGGACTATGCGATCCGTGTTGGTGTGGTCGTGCCATCGCATGTGGCGGGTACTGCGAGTACGGTTGATGGTAATAAGGATGCGAGTACTGGGCATACGGTTGATGATACTGTTGCTGAGGATAGCCATAGCCAGGATGAGGTGGTCGCGGGGCCAGAGGTACGGTCTGGGGCTGTTGGCCACCAGGTGGCTGGTATTGTTGAGGGTAGCCTTGTGCGCCTTGCATCATACCAGGCGGGGGTGCGTGACCTGGGGGCGCACCAGGTGGTGGGTGGATCGGAGGATTTTGAGGCCCTTGATGCGGAGGCATTGAATGTCCAGGAATCATTGTTGATGGTGGCTGGTGAGGCGGCATTTGATTAGCCGCGGCGTTCGCTGCCGCCACTGCTGCAGCAGCTACAGCTGCGGCTGCTGTTGTGGACGGCACTTGAGGCATTTTGCCTGGTTGTGGGGGACCTGACATAAATTTATCCAGTTAGTGGTTAAAAATAATGTTTATTAAAAATAATAACTTTTGAATGCGTACTCACCTGTAGGCATATTTGGTTGATGTGGTGGTATTTGTGAATAAGGAGAACCAGAAATTTGCGGTCCTGGCATTTGTTGTTGTGGTGGCATTTGCTGCTGCTGCTGCTGCTGCTGCTGCTGCGGAGGCATCGGCTGTTGTTGAGGGGGCATTTGTTGTTGTTGCTGTTGTTGTGGAGGCATCTGGGGTGGTTGCTGAGGATGCATCTGTTGCGAGGGTATTTGCTGTTGTTGAGGTGGCATTTGTTGTTGCTGAGATGGTATCTGTTGCTGCTGACCCATCTGCTGTTGCGGAGATGGAGGAATTTGCGGTTGTTGTTGTTGAGAGGGTATTTGCTGCTGACTAGGTAAACCTAAAAAATGTTTTCTCTTTATTACTTCATTTCAATTGCAGAAAATATTGAAATATTGGTTATTTATATACCTGTTGGCATTTGTTGTTGTCCTTGAGGTGACATTCCTTGTTGATTAGGAATTTGCGGCATTTGTTGTTGGGATTGCATTTGCTGCTGCTGCTGCTGCTGCTGCTGTTGTTGTTGTTGTTGTTGTTGTTGATGCTGCTGCTGCTGTTGTTGTTGTTGATGCTGTTGCTGCTGCTGAGATTGAGGTCCTTGTTGTGGGGGAATTTGTGGTTGATGCTGAGAGGATAATTGTTGTTGCTGGGAAGGATGTTGCGACTGTTGTTGACTTAGCAACTGCTGGGAAGGCATTTGTTGTTGCTGCTGAGGAGGTAACAGTGGCTGTTGAGGTGGCATCTGCTGCTGATTAGGTCCTGAAAGTATCACTCCGTATTATTGAGTGTACTTGATGCAAGTTTACAGTAGATTATAGCTTTGATGTCATGCAATGGTAAGTTTATGATTTTATTTATCAATATTTATAACATATAAAAAAATGTTAACGTTGTTATACCTTGCGGTATTTGAGATGGGTGAGGGGGTAGATGGTGCTGATGATAAGGAGATCCTGAAGAATGCAAAACTTGTATATGTCAATTTGTGCAATTGGTTTTATAAAAAAAAAATTTTCTAAAAAAACGCTTTTTAACTAACCAGTAATTTGGGATTGCGACTGTTGATGTGATATTTGTTGTTGAGGAGGCATTGAAGGTTGTGCTTGCATTTGTTGTTGAGGAGGCATTGAAGGTTGTGCTTGCATTTGTTGCTGTTGCTGAGAAGGCATTTGATGCTGCTGTGATGGTGACATGTGCTGTGATTGTTGTGGAGGCATTTGTTGGGGAGGCATTGATTGTTGATTAGGAGGACCTAAGATGCATATGAAATGAAATGAAAAAAAAAAATTGCAAAAAATTGAAAAATGTTCACGAATATGAATTACCTGTTGGTGAAACCTGCTGGTGCGGAGGAGGCATTTGTTGCGGTTGAGAACTTGATTCACTTTGTGTAGGAGGTGGATGCATCGGTTGTTGGTGTTGTTGATCATGAGACATTTGCTGCTGGCCAGGTCCTTGCTGCTGACTATGTGGGCCACCTGATTTTACAAGACCAATTATACATAAATTACGATACTTGATAAAAAAAAAAAAAAAAAAAATGTTGAATGACTCACCTGGTGGCATTTGCTGCAGAGTTCTAGATTGTGGAGGTTGAGGAGGCATTTGTTGCTGTTGAGGAGGCATCTGCTGTTGCTGTTGTTGCTGAGGAGGCATCTGTTGATGATGCTGCTGCTGATGAGGCATTTGCTGTTGAGGAGGCTGAGGGGGCAACTGTTGGGGTGGAATTGGTTGTTGAAGTGTAGGTATTTGTTGCTGATGTATGGGCATTTGCTGCTGCGGAGGAAGCATTTGCTGTTGAGGTGAAGGTATTTGCTGTTGAGGTGAAGGTATTTGTTGGGGTGGCGCAGGCATTTGTTGCTGCTGTTGTTGATTCATAAGACCTGGAGGAAGTTGGGATGGATGAGGTGGCATCATTTGCTGCTGTAAAGGCATTGACTGTTGGCCAGGATGTCCTGAGAATTTAAAAGTTTACAATTGAAAATTATTGATCTCTTGGATACGAAGATTTTTTTTATTCTTACCTTGCGGCATTGGTGGATGAGGCGGCATTTGTTGTGGAGGGCCCTGAGGAGAATTCTGGGGAGGACCTTGATGAGAAACTTGAGGAGCGGCCTGAGGAGGCGGAGGCTGCATTTGATGAGGGCCAACTGGTGGATAGTTTGGTCCAGGTGCTTTTTCAACAGGACGTGAATCTGGCTTGTTATCTACGCAAGGCGGGGAAGGAGTGCTTTTCTTTACTTCTGGCTTATCCACCTCCATAGGAGTCTCTGAAGATTCGCTATCTTTCGCCTGTAAATTTGTTTATTGTCATTATAACTGCAAGATGATTATACTCATTTAGATGTCAATATTTATACCTCTGATGAATTTTCTTCATTTACTGATGCAGGAGTTGGAGTTGGAGTCGAGTTTGGCGTTGACTCAGTTGATGGTGGATTTTTTGAGCGACTGTCTTCAGTAACTCGTAACCTCTCTCTTTTTAACATTTCATACTGCCTCTCAACCATTTCATTAAATGTATCGTCGTCAACTGCTGGCTTGCAATGCTTTTTTAATTCTTCTTGAAAAACTTCGCTCGTCTCAATGAATTTTCTTTTTTTAGCTTCAAACTTTTCTTCAATTTGCTGTAGTTCAGCTTCAAGTTTTTTTTGATGCATAGTTAATGATTGCACTTGTCGTCTTAAAATTTGCATTCTTTGGGTCGTTACTACCGAACGAACATCAGGAACTACGGTATCGCTAAAAATATCATTAATTAACCGATGATTTCGTAGAAAACGCGAATATGCCACATGCTTTACAGAATATCCATCGTCTTGATCTGAAAAATGATCGGTTGTATAAATTTGTAATTAAATGTTACTAATCAAGTCATAGCATATTTTTTACCATCTTCATCCTCAGCTGCCAAAATGTCAATCCTTCTGTCTTGAGCACTTTGACTTTTACTACTACTCGAGGATCGTTCGTGAGTTTCGCGTTCGTCGGTATTTTGTTGGGCTGCACACAACGCTGCATTAGACACAAAACATATTATACATCTAATTTTATCTAGGTTTCTAGCCAAATATACAAGAAACTATGTATTATGTAAAATAAACATGTTAATGCATCCCTACTGAAACTTAATTTAAAACGATTAAAAAGAAAGAACGGTTGTTGCACGTACACGTTATATGGAACATAAATTAAGCAAGTACACATAAATTTACATTTGTTATGTATGTATACACACATATATATATATATATATATATATATATATATATATATATAATGGACAAAACCTAGAAACTTAATGAACAATGACATTAAAAGCTTTGACATACCGGATTTGCCTCTGTTTTTGGCTGCTATGTAAGCTAAATATGCTGGTGAAGCATGATAAGTTTTTAAGCTCTTGTCATATTCGATCTAAAAAAAAAAAGAAATAATGAAATATAAATTTTGCAGTCAAAGTTATTATTAATTACCAAATAAATAATTTAACATACTTTTTCAGCTTCGTACTCTTCTATGAATTCTGTTTTCTCGTCTTCAGGTAAATCCCTCCACATCTGGCCAATGATCTTGCCAATTTCCCATAGTTTCAATTCAGGGTTTTGTGCCTTAACTTGGTCCCAAACTTTTCTGCTGTACCTCATATACGGCATAAGAGGTTTCTCTGGAGGTTTTGGTGGTTTTGGCAATTTAGAGTCGGCCTGAAAAGAAACATTTCAATACTACAATGAATGATACCAGTACAATGAAAAATACAAGATTACGGGAATCAAAACATACCGGAGTATTCTTTCCAACTTTCTGAGGTACAAAACCTGGGTGTCCATGAGCAGTTTGTATAAACGGACTCTGGTTATCTTTCTAAAATGTGGTGCGGTAAAAAACAGCATAATTCGTACATGCGGTAATGCATGATCAATCAACAGACAAATATTATTTACTACTACTTACACTAGAACTAGAACCTCCAGCACTGCCAGATGCTCTGATCCTTTCTGTAAACCAACAAAACAGACATCGGATAAAGCCGTAAATATTATCAATGATAAAAAATTGCGGCGTAAATTGATTCGTAAGTAATATCTCACGGTTTGTCGGAGTGACGATGTTGGAGGTGGCAATGGCCACTTGTTTATAATTAGCAGGCAGGGCCATCTCGATGAGTGCACAAGTCACCGAATCAATTAGATCATGAGTTCCTCAACTTTTGGCCGTTCTTTGCATGTGGAACAAGTAGACAAACAGCAATCACACCGGTGGACGCTTTCTGCGGACATGCACAGGGAGATAGACTCCACTGACTGAACTGACTCTCAAGCAGTCTCAAGAGTCCAGTGTTAACCTCCTAACGAAGCGGCGTCTTCCGCTCCCGCTAGAATAATTTGTGCTTCGTGCACATTAATGACGATATACGGAACACTTGCGGTACTGCGGCAGTCACCAACATGTGTTCCAAATTTATTTTCGGGTAAAAGATAAATTGCATACTTGCCGCAAATAGCACAGACAACGTCAACTTTTTATTTTCTATCCATTGAAGATTAGTTGCGGCTGGTTTATAATGGATTTTATGGCTCTACTTAAGTATAGTAATAATTATTTGGATCAGCGCCATCTAGCGGTCTTCATTTTTTCGCCTTCGCCTTCCGTACTGTGATCTGATTGGCCGTCCCCTGCATTCGTGATTCTTCATTCGTCAGGCTTCAGTGTTACTAAAATCGTGGGATTTATAAAAATCCACATACTTTTTCACTATACCATTTCTCCATAATATATTTACAAAATCTGTTTTCATTGGTATAGTTGTTAAGTAGGAAGCTATCGTTTGTAAACAAAGTTTTTTGCCTTTTGACACATATACATATGTACCCGATTGAATTATTATTATTTTCTATTACCCCTTTAATAAGTGATCACAAGCTTCCGTCACATCAGTGATCTCTGATCAACTGCCCCGTGAGTATCGTCCTGTGAGAGTGTGAGTCCTGTCTGTCGCACCGAGAGTCAACACACACCCATGCATGTGGGTCTCCAAATTGGCCGGACTTGACTTTTTAAATCCCCGTCGATACTTTTAAAGAATGATCGTAGGACACTCCTTGCTCGCCCTTTAAATCAACTCCTCGAAACCTGATGATCATCATCGGAAAATTGCGATAAGTAGGTACAGCACATCATATAAGTACCAGCCGACACGGTGATAACCTGGCATGCGTCTCTCAGCCAACATGGCCACCGGCAAGGGCTTCGCCGTGATCCTAAAGCCTCGAAGTTTGGGTCTCTTTGGGCCCGGCAAGGCTCAATCGGCCCACAGCTCGTTGCCCCTTCGTGCACCAGGATGCCGGCGACATTCTACCGCGGCCACGCAGGCTGTCGACTCGTGGTGCGCCAGACTACGGCCGACAAAGTGTGAGTACCTTTTCGGTGTACTGTTGTTACATCATATTTCACGCGACCGGTTGTTACTTTTTTCGACAATCAATTTGTTAATTTTATAGTTTATCGGGTACATTATAACCCAAAGGAGTTTGGTATGGTTAGTGGATTTTAAAAGGGTCCTACGAAGGTTTTTCTGAGCTTTGGTGCTGGCTCTGGTTATTGGGTTGACATAACCTGCGGAAGGTTCACATGTGATATTTTAGCACCCAGCAGAAAACGTTTTTCGATGATTAGTGGTTTTTTTTTTTTTCATACTTTCTGAGGTTTTAACTAACTTCTGTACACGTCAGATTGATCGTGTGGGTTAATTCAAGTAGTTGTAGCTTCTGGGGTGGAGACAAAAACATTGCAAGATAATGTTGTTATTCAAATGATGTTTTTGTTGCCTTGCATTGTTTTTTTCCTGATAACTACAAATTAATTGCCAACAACTTTGTATCCATCATTTAGAGTCAAGATAGTATACTTTCTAGTAATATTGTTATCTTACTTTCATGCTGTATCATATAGTTGCACATGTTAAATCTCAAATTGAAAAAATTTATAATTCTTACTTTCAATTTTTTATTTTGATCAATGCATTTAATATAATTTTCATCAATATACTGTGATTTTAGATTCCGTTACAGGAACACTACAGAGTTACAGATCATTTCACTTGTCTAGCAGAGTATTTGCCAAGAAAAATTACTATGAAATACTGGGAGTTTCTAGAAATTCTTCCGGAAAAGATATAAAAAAAGCATACTATCAGTTAGCCAAGAAATACCACCCAGACACAAACAAAGATGATCCAAATGCCAGTAAAAAGTTTCAAGAAGTGTCAGAAGCTTACGAAGTGCTTAGCGATGAGACTAAAAGAAAGGAGTATGATACTTGGGGCGCAACATCAGAACAAATGGGTATGGGGGCTGGACAAGCCGGAAGGAACACTGACACCAGAGATTTTAACTGGCAGTTCAAGTCGACTATCAATCCTGAGGAGTTGTTTAGAAAAATTTTTGGAGAAGCTGGTTTTAATCAAGGCAATTTTAACCAAGACTTTGAAGACTTTTCTGAATCCAGATATGGTTTTGGAGCAGCTCAAGAGGTATATTGTATTTTCTATAATGTTTTTCTATTTCAAAACATTTTTATTTAATTAAAAACTTACTTTCTCAGGTTATCATGAATCTGACGTTTAGTCAAGCTGCAAGGGGTGTAAATAAAGACATAAACGTAAATGTCATAGATACATGTCCAAAATGTCAAGGTAGTCGATGTGAATTGGGTTTTAAACCAATAAAGTGTCATTATTGCAATGGAACTGGAATGGAAACAATTAGTACGGGACCCTTTGTTATGAGATCAACGTGTAGGCAGTGCCACGGTACCAGAATGTACATAAAACATCCTTGCGCTGAGTGTGAAGGAAAAGGACAGTCTGTGAGTTAAAATTGCATACCCATTTATTCATTTCTAGTTTTAAACCTTTTAAACACAACCGGCTTGTTTATTTCTATGTATATAGGTGCAGCGCAAAAAGGTAACAGTACCAGTACCTGCGGGCGTCGAGGACGGCCAGACGGTTCGGCTAGCCATTGGCAACAAGGAGATCTTCGTGACATTCCGCGTGGAGAAGTCAAAGTACTTTAGACGCGATGGCCCAGATATCCACACTGACGCCGAGATAAGCGTATCTCAAGCCTTGCTTGGTGGTGCGATACGCGTCGAGGGCGTTTACGAGGCCTTGAACATTCAGATCCGACCTGGCACCTCTTCTCATACAATCGTACGTTTGGGCGGTAAAGGCTTGAAAAAAGTGAATACACTCGGTTACGGAGATCATTATGTTCAGCTGAAGATAAAAGTGCCGCAGTCGCTGAATACGAAGCAGCGTGCGCTCATACAGGCGTATGCAGAGCTCGAGGAGGGCACGCCGGGTTCGATACACGGCATCACTATGAAAAAGGACGGTAAGGACGCGTCATGGAAAAATTAATCTGCATGATCGACACTATGCAGAAAGCTTTCTTGTTGTGTAAGGAGAGAGAAGTGAGATTGACAATTGTTAGGTGACGCGTTTGTTGTTAGATTTCGTAAGAGAAAGTATCGCTTGAGTTTCCCCGCGTGTACATTATTGTAAATAAGAGAATTTTTCTAGCATTAATCATCTTAGTCTCTGTTGCTCATTTATTCTATTTATCATGTGTTGTATGTATCAGGTAAAGTTTAATAAATAAACTGTTTTTCGAAAGTTCTTGTTTCTTTAGATTTGGGTAGAGATTAAATATTGTTCTTTTGCTGAACATACAGATACACTATAATTGCCCAGTTTGATTTTTATAATCATCACAACATTATAGGGTGTTAATGAATACAACTTAGTGTGCTATAGTAACATTTTCTAATATTATGCAAGAATCTTTTGTTTGGTACATTAGTTACTTAGTACAGAGGTATGTATACACGTAAAGTACAATTTATCAGTGAAATTATTGCGTTTTTTGATACCTAACAAAACATGGTGAATTGAAGTCCTACTTGAAATCCAGTCAAAATAGTCATACATCTGCAGAGCGTATCGTTATCATTATTAACCCTAGAAAAATTCTCTTTAGTATGAACATTTTCACGAAATGTTTTTTATAAAATTAAAAAAAATTAGTTTTATCTCGATATAAAGACTACGATTACTTTTTCTAGAACCCACGTCGGAGCAAACTCAAGCGAGTGATACAAATCAAGGCGAAGGCTTGCTTAGTAGGGTCAAGAGGGCGATATTTGGATAAACTATTATTTATGTTAGGTGAGTGGTTTCGCCCTTTGAGGTTTTTTTTTTTTTTCCTTGAGCAAGTTGTGTAAAACAGTTTTGTTCACAGTGATTATGTGCAAATTTAATTCAACGTGTTTTGTGTTTTAACATAATCTCAAATCTCACTCTATAATTAGGGAAACTGCATGTCAAATCATAATTTCACACATCATTCTTCAGCCTGAACAATTAAAACTCTTTTTTTCATTTAATAACACATGTAAAAATAACAAACATTTTTATTTCATGTAGATAATAAATTTATTGTCTTAGGTACAAAAGAGTGCTACCACGAGCCTTATGAACTCATGAATTCTATTCGGAAAGCTCTTAACGGTTCCAGTCCAACAATGAAAACGAAAAAGTTTGCCCCAGATGATCCATCGGACAAGCCGCAGGACGCCGCCTCAGATAGTGACGTCGATGAAAATGAGCGACGAAAGATGCCGTAAGAAAGGTCATTCACACATGCATACCGACACTTAAGCTCACATATATAAATACAATTACTTTTGGGGACTGTGAATATGTAATGGATATACATAATTGTATGGAGTATGAATTTGAAGCTGGGCACGCGCAAATGTCCATGGTAAATGAGAGCCTTCAAAGAAACTAGTTGTTAAAGTTGTAGAATGTTTTTAATTATTTTTGGGACGAGGCGACGAGGAGTTCGTTGCTTTGAATAAACAGAAGCAGCTGCATCGGCTTCACCCTTAGAAGTTGTAAAATTGTAAAATAGTTGAGTGTAATCGAAACTTATCGGAAAATGAATCTTTTCGATTGATTAACGATAATAATAACGAACCACAGTCTGATACACAATTTTCAATCAATACTATCAAAATTTTATAATGATGACATTTTTTGTCTTTTTTTGATCATTTGAGAACCAAAAGAATCGTTTTTCCTTGAGTTTTGATTCAACGCCTTATTACGAATTAAATTTCGAGTTTTTATTTTTTCAAGTGACTGTTTTATTCTGCCAGATTAAGCAAAAATGTACTCGTTTGTTTTACATTTTTATGCCGACGATTTGATTCTTATATGGCTTGAATGAACAAAAAAAAAA